ACTTTGCACCACAGACAAATTTTATAATATACAAATTTAACAGATATTATACTTCCAACATAAGCATTTCATTTAATTACTTTAAGAATTCTAACTTTGAAATACCAGATAAGTTTCAAATAGAAATTCGATGGGAAGTCAAACAACAAAAAGAAAATGCGATTTCTGGAAGGTTTGCTTAAGTGGCTATTAATTATTTATAGATTTTAACAAATGGTAATTGGTTTATTTATGAAAATGCCAACTCACTACTACATAATACCCAAATCGTAAAAGAGTATACTAGTTTTATAATATATAGTACACCGCCAACCAATCAATCCACATTATGGAAGACTATTTTGTACATTACCTGTTTTCTATGTGCAGACTTGTTTAATTCTTCTGCTATAACAACTATATCAATAGATTCATACTCAAAGGCATTATATATTATTTTGATTTGGATGTTCACATATTTTTTTAAAATTTACTTGCTTTGAGAAACCCTCTGATTTAGTTCAGAATAAATCATGTCTATGACGGATAGAGTAGCTGAAAAGAACGCGTTAAACCCATATGGAAATGCTATAGCTTGAACAGCATACAAGAAGGCAGTACAGAATAAAAGAAGCATTTTTAAGATTCTCAGATATGAGACTGAATGTTGTGGAAAGTAGGACTTTGATTCGTTTGCATATAATAAAATTTATGGTTCCGGTTTATTTAATTTCTATACATGTTTCCTGTGAACTAAAATATAGGGTTGGTTATTGGAAGCAAACGTGTAGGCTAGTATTTATGGTTTTTTTTATACAGTATCAAAAGATTTCCGACGTTGATAAAAAGTTAAACTCATGGCAATTGTATTTTTTATTAGAGATAGCTCGGATTATGTAAACTCTACACCGATAAATTGAGAACAGTAGTAGCTAGGAACGTACAAACCATTAATTTATAGATAGCATCAATCGCGGTCTGCAGAATACCTTTTGTGTTTTGCAGAACACCACGTATACGGTCTTGTGAGCGAATGGTAGTGCCGGCTTCTGTTTGGTCGGCGGCTGGGAATGGCTTGGGTTTGGGTTTTATTTATTATGTACGCTTATTAGTATTTAATAATTTCTAACTAAAAAAACGTATTTAATTTAACAAATTTATGAGCAGTGTGGATTCGTTAGTGTTCAATTAATTCTAACTAAAAAACAAAACTTAATTAATTTAACAAATTTACAAGCAGCACAATTGAAGTATTTTTGACTTTACTCTTAAATATGCATTTATATATTTTTTCCCATATAAATAATTGAATTATTGTTATAATTAGGATATCAGATCATCGACAATAGAACAAGGCTTCGAAAATGCAGCCAGTAGAAAAACGACACTGCGAATAAATTCCTCCTTATTTCAGGCCCGAAACTGCGAAAAGCCTAAGGACTGAAAAAATATATATCAAAAGATTGTCGAAATCGTGTGTTCCCTATGCAGGGATTCAAATATGCAATTTTTTTGTCATAAATGAATATTGTATATGGATAAAGGGCAATCCATTCCAATAGTACCTCTGCTCGTGTTATCTTGAGTGGCTAAAGGAACGGTCCAAAAGGTAAGAACTTGATCGTTACTAAAAAGATATATAGTGCCTCTTCATAATCTTAAGTTTTAACCAAATTGCTAAACAGTATCAGGAACTTAAAAACTTGCGGTATGCGAGAGCAGAGCAATGATTGGTACAACAGAGCTCATTGTAGCAGAGAGAAGGGTATTCAATAGTTGGGCTGGCACGGCTTTAATGTTCTATTCGTTTTATTCGTGAATATACCACTCAATTAGTTGTACGAATTTTGACGTTCTATATATCTTTGGATGCGGAATAAGCCGTAGACTACAATATTTGTAATAATTGCCTGCTTCTCTCCAAAAAATAAAAATAATCAACTTCCTGTTATGATCAACAGCTTTTAAATCGAAATGCAAACTTCTATATTGTCTAAAGCTATTGGACTGACTGTACCCCATGTGCTGGTGATTTTGCCATTATATGGACAGTGTTATTCTTGGAACTACCAGAATAGCCCATTCGTTTGTTTTCAAAACTTAATACAAGTAATTATTCCGCAATTAGTATATTGTCTTTCATGGGCGAATATTAGATAAAATCTCAACACAAAACACTTTTATAAGTAAAAATTATTCTTAAATACATTTGTTTCATTGGACCCACCGATTCCTTCTAGGCGGAGCTATCCTTAGCCAGAATTCTTTGCAACTTATTATTTAAGTTACAGACAACATGCCTCTGCCTACTTACTGGGAATGTGACATTGGCAGGACTGTGAAAGACAAAGAAATTAATTAATTACAAAGCATTGAATGTTTTAAAATTTTAGAAATATAATATAACTATAATAATATAATATAATATATAATATAAATGTAGTTCAAAGTTTCTGTATTGTTATCCTTGTACTCACAGGAATCTTTTAAAGATGTCTTGGTGATAGAAAACTAAATTTGAAATTCAACTGATTTTTTCCAAGTGCAACAGCGCCAATGGACAGCAACAATGACTGGAGCTTGGGATAGGGCCAGGCAGGCACGTTTTGGGGCCTGTCCGGCGAAAATTTCAATTTCGCGCTGTGTTTTGTTGTTGCTCTCACATTTTTATTTGAGGGCAGTGCTGGGGACTGAAGTAATTTTTTGCTCTTTCACTTTTAATGGCAACTGGCATAATGAGCAAAATATTGTGCCATGAGCAAATACACACACACACACACACACACATATAGACACACACACACATACATATACAGATACATAGTTGTACATGGCATATAGACACAGGGACTTGTTTGTTTTTTGTGGGGTCTTCTGGTAGCCGCTTGGGAATTTTAGCAGCAACATTGACACAATAAAACATTTTCAACGCCGATGTTTTTTTCTGTCTCTCGTGTTTTTGCATTTTATTGATGCATTGCTTTCGGGCCACACACAATGCCACCAGAAAGGCAGCAAACAAACCAGCAAACTGCAAATATATGTACATGCCTATGTATGTACGTGTATGTATGTATGTATGTATGTATAATTATGTATATATATGCACACATCATTTCAGTGTTGACATGTGTTATGTTAAAGTCAAGCGGAGCCAACATGCAACTGTGCAGCAAACAAAAAAGCTGGCAGTTCGATAATTTAAAGTTCAAAGTTCGCTTTCCAATGCACCTACATACTAGTAAGCAATTGTTCAGCAGAAGAGAAAACAAATATAAATAATTTACAAGTGTAGGTTGTTAGGCTGGATGGGTGTCGATCTTTCGCATTGCCGATCCCGCAGGAATAAATGTCAACAATTGCAGGCCTCTTATTCGCATCATCACTGATAGTATATTGCATATTTTTAATTGGCTTCTCAGTAAATTAATGATTGCTCAATCATTATCAAAACTACGTCGCACTATCAATCGGGAACGCTTTCGGTAATGTGAAGACACGTATCTTAATTTCCCAGAGATTAAGAATATCTTACTCTCAAAAGTCAGATGTATAGTTTAGCAGATATATGCAATGCTGACTCTTCTTTTAGTTTGTAACGACATCTTTAAGGTATAATATAGCCTAAACCACATTGCTAGGTGTACTAATTTTATGCATTATTTAATTATTAAAATATTTCTTAGTTCTCTATAAAACGTTTTTTTTTTTTTTTTCAAACAAAAAAGTTCATCTCTGAGCCTCCATTTAAACTGGAATCAGTTTTTTTCTTCTAAAGCCTTTCTACACTAAGAAGAATATTTAATGTTTGGTCCAGGAAGCTAGTTATCAAGTAATTTATCAATCATTTATTATTTATTTACTTTTACCCAAATTCTGCTCGACTTAACCACATTTAATCGGTGTGTATTTTAGGTTAGGTAGGGATTACATAAAACACCAAAAAATATAGACACCTTTTTTGCAACAATTAGTGAGACATTTCATTATAATTTAATGCTTAGACCTTAATAATTAATAATAATAATAATGAAGATATCGCCTTTAACTACAAAGGACTTTGCTAAAAGTTAGCTTTTCCATATTCCATCATATTCAGATATCGATCAAAAACTAACTTACTATATTACAGACTAATTCATTGAATACTTTTTTTTAGCAAGTCCTTTAGTTACAAGTGTTCAGCATATATCGACGAAATAAAAAAAAAAAAACACAATATCCATCCGTAACTCCATTTTTATTTTTGATGGAAATATATGCGAATAAAGAGACAAACCATATTTAATAAACAATATATTTTTAAATGATTATATTTAACAACTTGTTATCTAGCTGATAGTATTAAGGAATAACAATAAAAAATACATTAGAAAGTTTGATATTGGGCCAATAATTTATAAAATTATTTATTATAAGCAATAAAAATCAAAACAAGTCGAGCGGGCTCAACTCTTAAATACCCTGCACCACCCCACAAAAAAAATTAATATAAAAAATTTAATTAATTTAATCTATTAATTAACTAACAAATATAAAATATTCAACACATGCGTACGTACATAAATGTTTGTGTGCAATTTCAACAGCACACATTTACATCATAATCGTGTCTATGCGTGTTTATGTACTTGTACATACATATGTATGCATGTATTCAGCACAGTTGAACCAAAGCAGCAACAACAACAACAGCTTAGGGGAACCTGGATACCAACTTTGGTAATTCTACATAGCTCTTATAACTTCTGAGATCCTTGCGTTCATCCAGACGGACAGACGGACAGACAGACGGACATGGCTATATCGACTGACTGTGTCATACATTCGCTCTCGTGCGGGCTATAAAAAATCCAAATCCCACCTAGCATTACCTATTAATGCAACCTAATTAATTAATCAGCCAAATGAATGAATGATATTAATACATAACCACAAATTTCATTAAATAGCCACGTTTTTATTTATTTTATAAATTTACATTTTGAAAACTTAAAATATTTAACTTTTGTATTTTTTTTTTTACATAATTTGAGTTTTAAAATTTTTTCTTAATGTAAATTTAAAGTTTAAAATATTTGCGTGGCGATCACGATTGTAGGTCACTGTACGTCCAGTGACGCAAAGTCTGTTCCGCATTGGAGTCAGCATTTGCGTCACTGGAACGTGCTGCCACCTCCTTATCTATTGACTGCCTCTCCCGCATCAGCGAACGGGTGCTCGGCGAGGGACTGGAGCCGCGATTGAACAACTTATGACGCAACCGTTTTCCCGCCTCCAACTGTGACATCTTCCTGAGTGTTATGTAGTCCTTGTTGAGCATGCGACACAGTTCGATGAAGGTGCACAATTGTGGAGACTTGAGCCGCTTGGCCAGATTGTAGGCAGCATTAAGAACCTCTGTCTGGCGCTCGTATTTGTGCAGCACGGCATGGGATTTGGCCAGCAACATGGTGCACAAGAATTCCCAAATGACGCTGTTGCATCTACGCGCTTCCTCGATCGCCCTTTTCGCAAAGGATAGCGACTGCATAAAATGATTCTGCAGCAAGTGCCGTTCGGACAACTCATGGAGTAGATAGGCGCGCTCGATGTGATGATTGGCGAAGGACAAGCGTTGCTCCAACTGAGCGATGAATCGTCTGGAGATCAAGAATATTGAGATATAAAATGCGAGTAACAAAAAAAAAAGACAACTCTATAAAACAAAATCCGGTTCAATTACTCACTTGTGCATTTTCTGCTCCGGCTTGCCACCATCTCCTTCGTCGTATGTAGCACGATTGCCAAAAACAAACTCCTGGAACTCGGCAGGCTTCAATATGTGCATGTTTAGCAACTGGCACAGGGCGTTCTTGTTATAGGGCGTTACTTTTTTTGTAGGCAGGCGGTATTCCTGGCACAAGCTCAGCGCCAAGTTGTTGTACACCTCGTTTACAAATTCAAACTTCCAGGGCAAGACACGACCTGTTTTTAGCACAACGTATTCCCCCATCAAATCACGCACGAAGTCGCGGAGGCGCTGAAGGACGGAATTAAGTGGAATGTAACTTTTAAATGTAAATCTTCGATATTTGGGGATATCAAGGCTCTATTAGGGCGTGGCACGAATCGATAAATAACTAGGATTATCAAATGCTTTAACACTGCAGAACAAAAACAAACTTGTTAGAAGTTGAGGAGAAAAATATCAGAATAATACGAAGTAATATAGTAAATATATATTTTTTTATTTACTTGTAAACTTTATCCTTGCGTTACCAGTATTAGATTACTTTAAAGCTATTACGGTAGTCATTACAGATTTATTTCTAATTTCATTTAATTACAAATTTAATTTGGTGTTTTTTGACATTAAACATTTGAATTTTTTAATTTTTTACTTTTCTTAATTTTTGTTCCTTTCTTTTCTTATTTTATAATATTTGTTTACATTTTTTAATGTGTGTGTGTCTTATTCTAACTGTACATCTACATTATTTCTTAACAACGCTTACCGCTACTTCCTGTGCTTAATAAAATTATTTTAGCAACTACTTGTAATTGTTTTTTGTATAATGTGCCTAATAAATACGCTTTTTGCTGCTGTTTTCATTCTATGTTTGATGCCAATAATCGTTTCAAACATCAAAATATATTATTTAGATAATTAATTTAGAGATAAGCGTTTTGGTTGCTATCCCGATCATTTAAAAAAATAAATAGGCACATCTAACTTAAATTTGCAAATTCTCAGTGTTCTAATCCGTTTTTATCCAAATAAAATATCCTCCTCCCCCCCCCCCCCCCCAACTATATATAACAAACCATTACTTTGTACATTCTTCTCTTAAATAATTCAGACTATTCTGGAGTGGAGAACAGTTATGAGTCATCGAACTCCAACGATTACTTAAACTGTCAAATTTATTTCACAACTCTTCAGTCTTCCAACAGAATCCTATGTATATAATTCTTTTTCTCGATAAGGATGGTATATGGAGTTGCTGAGCAGATATAATTACCTTCACTTTGTATCATCTCTGTTAATAAATAATCTGCATTCATACAAATTCAGTGAACTACGACTAATTGGCTACAATTTTCCTGATTGGCAAAGGAAGATGAAAACTTTAAAGATTCAAGGCGATGTCTTCTCCATTGCATTCAGTAAAGCTTTTAGCTTTTAACTCTGTGAAGCACGATCTTCTCCTATCTAAACGTTATCATATATGGTTTTCGAAGCTACTTTTTCGTATTACCTTATCGTTTATTGTATAAATTCATAGAAGGTGTTATAAAACTCCCTAGGAAATGTAAAGGTAATTGTCTTCGAATGTAGTACCCAAAAATGTTGATCACATCACATTGCTTATTTGTCGTTATGTGAAGGTTCAACGTATTATATTACTAGTTTCCATTAATATTATCTGGGTCCATGCTCTGCCAGCATATGTTGTTAACACGAGTCAAGTCTATGAAATAGTATCACCAACTGCCAAAAGATATTACAAGTATATACATACATATATACATTTGTGGTTCATTTATTTACTTTACATAAACTAGAGAAATTCAGTATTCATAGCTGTTAAAAACAATTTGTACAGTTTTTATTCTCAAACCAGTCAATTACTGGAAAACTGATTGCCATTCGTCTCTGGCAGACATAAGATTCTATGTCAGCACAAAAACAAATACTCGTATAGACTAGGGACTACTTGGAGCCTTCGCATACCAAGTTGGTTAATGTACGCTCAGCCGTTTCCGAAATCCAGGCGTTCATTCAGACAGATGGACAGACAGACGGACATATCTAGATGTTTACCTCTGCTTGTTACATACTTTGTACAAGTACAAACCTAATATACCCTTTCTACCTAGGCCAGTTATGAATTTTTAGAAATGTTTGGATATTATTCTCATGTTTGGACCCGCAACTCACCTTTGACTCGCCGCGTACACGAAGGGATCGTATGGTGCGCAATATGCTAAGCAGATTGCGACGCGTCTGATACTGCACCCGGAAGAGATTTGCCTCCTTGAACTGGGTCATCAATTTGGGATCACGCTGCTGCTGGTAAACCTCGTTGTACATGGGGCTCCGACGATGCAGCATACTGGTTAGCTGTCGGACGCGTTCATACGAACGATTAAGCGATTCAGCACGCTTCGTATATTTCGGCGTGCATTGGTCCAGAAATAGCACTGGACTCTTCCGCAGAGCATTCATAAAGATAATATCAACCCAGGCGCGATCCAGATACTTCTGATAGAAGATTTTACTCATTCGTCGACGACGTGCCCCCTCCAGTGGCGAGAAAGTTATTTCCTATAGAAACGAAACCTGTAGCATGCCCAGTATATATGTAATACTAACAAGAAATTGGTCTAACAAAGTTGGCAATCCGATGTACTGCATAGCTAGCATTCCTAGGCATGAAGCTAAAGGGTTTCAAAACATGTTCATAGCAATTATAAGTAGATAGCCGTGAAATATCAGAATAGCCCTATTTTGAGTTAAAAAATTTTTGGTTTTTGGAAGTGAAACTTTTTATGTAAGGGTCTTGAATGCTGGATCGGCAACCTTTTCTGTAACGAAAACAAGACACAACCAAGTAGCCCAACTGGAGAAATTGAAAATAATAATGCAAACAAAAGAGTAGCCATTTCTTGTGCTTTTCGGGTTTCCAGGAATAATTTTAATCCGAAATAATAGTGCGTTGTCTGAGGCTCTTAAAAGCTGGGTTTTATAGCTATTTTTAGCGGTGTTTCGAGCCATTTTCTAAAGGCTTTTCTACCTATTTTTAGTGGGTTTTCCAGACATTTCTGGCGGATCTCTAATGGATTTTCTACGCTCTCTAGAGCTACTTTTAATTGTTCTTCTTTTCATTTTCTATCGTGTTTCTAGCTACCCATAAATGTTTTTAAAGCCATTTTCTAGCGGTTTTCTAGCACTAAGAAATTAACTCAAACTAAATCATTCCAATATAAGTTGCACTTCTATCGCGTGTCGCCCTGTTACATCATTTCTTCTTATACTTTGCTGTCTCATTTTTGCAGACCAGCACTACGTTAGCTCACCTCCTTGTCTACCACACTTTGCACATCACATTCGCCCTCCTCCTTTAGGATCTTCCAATGGGGTCGATCATCGACTATCTTCGATTTGGGCAAATTATACGTGTTATTGCCAAAGACGCTTTTGAGGAAGAACGGACCTAGAGCCGGGCCCAAATTGTCCCGGAAATTTTCGTTCACAATGGCCAACCGCTTTTTGAAGGGTTCCATGGAGCTGCCAATATGCTTAACCACATTGTCGTGCAGCATCATTTTGTTGTCCTCGAAACGATTCATTGTATACATCACATCGGCCAGCTCCAGGTTCAGTTCAGTCTCACGGACGCCGGGCATTGCGGCAGCCCGTTCAATGTCCAGCAGCGCATCCTCACCGCGCGCCACCGTTCGATGGAATTTGCTACGCAGGTAGAGTGTCCGATAGTCGCCAGAGTCGCGCGAATCGATGCAGCTGTTGAAATACTTCTGCGCCTGCGCATTCATCCTCAGACGTGAGAAGTATTGCCCCCAGCTGCGATAGATGATGCGCTGCTGCTCTGGCGGCCAGTCGAAATTTTGCCATGGCATTTTTCCCGGTTGTACACCCGACATATTTGGTCAAATTTTTATGATCACGTATATCCAGAGAGCGCTAAAAACTTAAAACCAAGAATCTTTAAAAGCGTTAAAAAAAAGGAAAATAAATTAAGACATTAAAACTAAAAACCAAATGACAGACTAAATGAAATAGTGAGGAATACAAAAAAGCAAAGATAAGGGTTGTCGATATTCGTTTTTGAATATCACTCGTCCTGCCCATAAAATCAGGAACAAATCAGAGATGATCCCTTCGGCATGCCGTACAGACATACTCGTATGTTTACGTGCATCGGTATTGAGGGCAGTACGGAGTTGAAAGGAAGAAGGAGGCGTCGCAGACCTCACAACGTACACCTAATTCTGTTTTCACACTGTAGATGGGTTCCCGAAAAAACGTGTAAAAAAAGATATTGATCTTATGCACAAATTGGTGATTGGTGCCTTATCTCTAAAACCTATTGAAATTTGTGGAACAAACAATGATTTTTTAAGAATAAGTATTCATGTTTATTTTATAAAATCACATATACAAGGACCGTTCCAAAGCAAACAGGACTTTTTGAATCTAGCGTCGCCTGGTGGCGCTATCTATATGTCGACTGGTGCGTTAGAATCTGCTATCTTTATCGATTGTCCAGTGAGAATTTCATTTCATCGATTGGAAGTGAAGTTATTGCGTTTTAAGTGTCAGTATGTTTGTGTTATCGGTGCGAAAATGAGCTTCGAACAAAGAGCCCACATTAAATTTTGTTTTAAAATTGGTCAACTTTTACCGAAACGTTTCAATTGATGGAACAAGTTTATGGCGATGATTGGCTATCCCGTAGCAGAGTGCACGAGTGATTTCCACGTTTTCAACGTGGTCGTGAGGACATAAATGACGATCAACATGTGGGCCAATCAAAATTCGTGATCACCGAAAATTCCATCGAAACTGTGCGTGAATTAATCATAAATCAGCCGAAATCATCATTGAAATTGATGGAAATGGAATTGAACATCTCCAAAACATCGATTTATCGCATATTGACCGAACATTTGGGCTTACGAAAGGTGTTTCCACGGTTTGTTCCGCACAAATTAACTGACGACCAAAAATTGCTCAGAATCGATTGACGCTTGTGACCGATTATTTGACCAAAAATCTCATTTTAACCATTAACCACTCGGCGTATTCACCTGAAATGGCACCGCGCGACTTCTACCTTTTCGGAAAAATGCATTTGCCCATGAAAGGAAAGCGTTATGCAGACGTAGCGGCCATTCAAAAGTCTTGCACCGGCATACTGGCGGCTATACCGGCCAACGGGCTAAAACGAGCTAAAACACACATGCCTTTGGATCGTGCAAAAAGCTGTATTGAAGCAGAGAGAGACTATTTTGAATAAAATAAATTGATGTTGCCGATGTTGTTGTTCCGTTTTTATACTCTGTACATGAAATGTACAGACGTATATTAGGTTTGCGGGAGCTGAAAAATGTAACAGGCAGAAGGAGGCGTGGCAGACCCCACAAAGTATATATATTCTTGATCAGGATGAGAAGCTGAGTGGATATAGCCTTGTCCGTCCGTCCGTCTGTCCGTCTGTCCGTATGAACGCAACGATCTCAGAAAGTATAAGAGCTAGAATAACCAAACTTGGTTTCCATATTCTCCTAAGACCGAGAAAGTACGAGTTTGAGTTTTTTTTCAATGCACCCCCCCACTCCCCCGCAATTCGTGTCTTTTCTTATAACTTCCGTAATTCTCGGAATTTTGAAATCAATTTTGGTAGGTACATCCAGTTAGTACTAATGTGTCCGTGTGCCAAATTTCATCATGATAGGTCAATTCTGAAGAAAGTTATAGCCATAAGTAAAATCGCTGCTCATGCGCTGCCCGCAGCTGTTGTTGTTGCTGCTTTGGTTCAACTTTGTGCTGCATACATACACGCATATAAACACGCATAGGTACGTGATGTAAATGTATGCTGTTAAAACTGAACATAAAGATGTATTCTAATTTAATTTAATTAATTAATTCATTCATTCATTTTTTTAATAATTTAATTTGTTTTAATTTTTTTTTTTATTTATTTTTTTTAATTTTTCTTTTTTGTGGAGAGTACAGGCTATTTTACTGTCGGGCTTGCTCGACTGTAGCGTTCTATCTTGTTTTTTTTATTTTCTTAATTTTTTTTATTTTCTATAATTATTGTAAACCTATGTATTTCAAAGTCGGGACACCCGACTTTAGCTTTTATACTTGTTTTTTTTTTTTAAAGTGTTGTTTACTTTGGAACACACCTTGTAAAATGTATACAAGCAAAGTTATTAAAGAAAATAAATATATTCACTCTAAGTTTAAAAGTATGTAATACAAGAGTCCTGCTTCGCACGGGTATTTTTACAAAAATTTTAAAAATTATACATTTTATAACATCTTTTTGCTAGGAGCTACTAAGAAGGAGTAAAATTTATTTTGGATATTATTATTTTAATGATTTTTTGTTCGTTTTCAGATTTTTTGCTATTCTTTATTAGGTCAGAGGTTCTCTGTAAAAGATATTTGATGTTTTATTTTGTGGTAGCAAAATAAATTGATTTTCAGGAGCTCCGACCCGTGATAGGTCAACATACCGTAAAACATTGCTTTCGTATGTCGATCCCTACTAATTCGAAGGCTTGGCCTTGGGGCTACCGGAGATTGAAGCCAGCCATATAAATGATCGAATGGGATCATCGGCTTCCTCGGTATCCTCGTTATATGAGCTAGTTGACCAGTTGCTGGGCCGTTGATAATAGTTGCTACACTTAAATTGTCCTGCCTCGTCCCATTGCACATGCTTGAAAGGCTTTAATTTCTCAAAAGCACGATTGCAATTCCGAATTTCACCGTCAATTCATGTGGCGGCAGTCCAGAAGGGTTTAGTGAATTCAAGTATCTTGAATATGAATCACGCTGTCGATCGACTTGTAATTTTTTATTTGGCTGGGGGCTTTTGAATAATATTGCCTTAATATTTAAAGTGATAATGTTTCGACGATGATTATGAACTAACAGCATGCTATTCAGGAATTTTTTAAGGAAATTTGTTTACACCTTTGGTTACATTATTGGTGTTAATTCAATTCAAACAAACAAACAAACAAACAAACAATCAACTTATTCCTCTTTATAATATTAGTATAGATAAATAAAATGTATTACAAGTTCGGCACGTTAGTGAATGAAAAATATTCACGTACATACAGAAGAATGAAAAGTCGCAACAAATTATCAAATCGAAAAAATAATAACATCAAAAATAATTAGACTGGAAGAATAATTAAAAAGAAAAATTATAAAATAAGAATAATTTACGTCGTTCTAAGGCGACGTTTCAAACTAAAATGACATTGTTTGCTAAAGTAAGGCAGTACATGAGTTTCTTCTTCTTGCAATTACACCGATTTAGCGCAGGCAGAGACGCTTTCGATGCTGAAAGATATCGAAATTATTTATACTGTCTATCGACAACAGCTTCAAAACTTTGCTTTCAAGATGGTGATTTGATTTAATTGTGATTTGTGTGTGTGGGTTTTTTTAAGACACGCAATTGCTATAAAACAAAATAAATGAATTCTTAGTAGTACTTAATTAATAGTAATAGGTCAGTTATGAAATGCAAGAACATTTATACCCTACTAGCAGGTCTTACCCGTCCTTGTTGGCTCAGTATTTGTGCTTACAATTATAAGGTTATTTACTATATGATAATTCTCTTCCGACACTCTCTAAAGTTTCTAAAGAGTTCATTTCCCAAATAGCAAACTACTTTGGTATGGTTCGAGAGCTGGGACATACATATGTATGGTTATACGTACATACATACATACTTATGTATATTTATGTATGTAGTGTGATATTGATAATCAATGCATGTAATTTCATGTATTTTGGTCAACTAATTTAACTGCACAACATTTAAGTGAGCATACAAACATATGTATGTACTATGTATATACATACATATGTATGTATATCATACGAACTATTTTCTACAAACTATATTCTATCTCTAGTTGCTGGAGCATCATAACTTTCTATAGTTGAATCCATTGATACTATCGATAATTCCATCGAAGTTTGAATGCAATAAATATGTAATAACATTTTATAATTTATTGCGGCCAATTAGAACAAATATAAATTTGTATTAAAAACAATAGTTTACCCCCTGTTTGTGGCTTAAGAAAGCAAGTTTTTTGGGCTTTATTGAAAACGTTTTAAGCAAATTGAGGTAGAGATAAGCAATATGGTTCCGATTTCGTACTCAAACCAAGCATGTTTTTCGCTTATGGCAAGCAAATCGGGCAACCCAATGCGTATTTTAATAGGAGATTGAGGCGAGACCGATTATCAAATACCATATACCCAAAGAAGAAGAAGGAACCCTCGAGTCATAATGTTTCACTACAACGTTTCCTTAGGATAAACCGATTTGAATGAATTTTAGAGATTTACATAAATATTGCAGTAACAAATTGGAATTGTAGACAGTAATAACGAAAATTTGTAGCTTAGTTAAAATACAAAAAAAAAAGATATATTCGTGTCATTATGCTGATCACGAAAATATAATATCCTTTATGGGGCCGCAGAAGATTCCTTCTGACGATTACGCTGGAAACTATTTGAATCCCCTGTGCCTTGACAGCTATGACACAAATCTAGCGGTAAATCAGGTAAAGAACGTGCCTTTCTCTTCCTTACAATAAAAACGGTCCTTGAATTAATTACCATAAAGCAGAGCTATATAGAGCGATTTAAGTATGTAGAATGCAATAAAACTGGAGTACTACTAGATATTTGATAGCATGCAGTCAGAATCGACACATTTATGCTTCATTCGCACATCTCCTTATTCCTTCTCTGTATTCTGAGACACCTACCTACCTAAATATTTATAAGAATAAAATCGAAAAACTTGCGTTTCATTACAAAAGATATATTTGCTTTCAATCTAAAAAAAAAGAGTCTACTAGGTACTATCATAACTGCTCTATTGGAGCTCCCTATCGATAATTCGTTAATGCTCTTCCGCCTTCGATTCGACGTCATCCTCCTCCGCAGAATTATCCTTCTCTTTCTTCTTATCCCCGACATTGCCGTAGGCTTCACTCTGGAATGGATCCTTGGCAATGTATTTGTCCAAGCGCTTCTCACCATCGGGCTCCACCTGTGACAATTCCCCAAAGCCCTCTTCATCGACGAAGCATATTTCATGGCCATCTGGATCGGCCAAGATGAGAACGGAGACCGTAGCCTTGCCTGGTGTGTCCAGTGTAATAAGCGGTTTCAGAATCGTACCGCCTGCAGCTTTCACCGCCTTATGCAGAGGCTCCTGCACACTGCCAGGAACCGCGAATGCAATGCGCCCGTAGGCCTGAGCTCGATTCAGTGGCTCATTAATCTTCCGCAGGCACAATGCTGCCTGCTTTCCATTTTGGCCATCATAGCGTAGCACCAAGGAATTTTTATCTCCGTTTTCTTCCAGTGGCTCCATCTGCAGCAGCTCCTGCCAATACTTGCGTGAGGCATCCAAATTAGTCACATTTAGGGCCACCTGTTTCACAGGATCATTGCCTTCGGCTTCCTCCTCATCGATAATGTAGAACTTGTATCCATCGGGGGAGCTTAGCACATTAAGGTCGCCCTCCTTATTCAAGGGATAATCATGCTCAGCGGCACGGGCCAGCACACCACTGGATCTGATGGTCAATCCACCGAAGTCGTTGCCTGAAAGAAGGAAGTAATTAATAAGTACACTAACATCCACTCACATAATTATTTGCCTAACTCTGTGTGCAAATATGACCCCGAAATTGAGCGAGTGTTTTGAAATGAATGTTGTCGATGTCCGAAATTATTCACCAAAGAAGTTTGGTTAATTTTTGTGCAAGGAATGGAATTTCTGCTTCCGAAACATTAGGTATGTTTCAGAAGGCTTTCGTTAAACGGGCCTTGTCAAAAATACAACTTAATGAATGGCATAAAATGTTCAAAGTGGTTCGACAAACCACATCCGAGAAGTACCGGTGCTCCAAAAGCGTCGATTGATAAGTAGAGACATTGCTGATGCTGTTGGCATTTCAAATGGGTCAGTCAACATCATTTTAAAAGAACTTTTGGGCCCCGTTAAAGTCAAATCGCTCCTATTTCAAAAACAAGTCGCATAACGGCCCACAGCCACCATATTTCGGGTTTTGTGGATATTTAATAAATTGAAAACGCCAGATTCAAGCCGAATCGATGAAGGTGCGAAATGCCTTTTCGGAAAAGGGTTTTTGGACTGCTTCGAGGAGAATCCGTAGAAGATTACTTTGAAGGCGATCAAATACATTTTACCGAATAGGAATAACAAATAAAATAGTGCGGGTCATAATTGTACACTTTTTAGACTTCATTTGCCAGAGGCGACGAAAATAGTTTCATGCTCAGTGAATATAAAGTGCTAGTTGTACTTGAAATAAACATTTGAAGCCCCATAAATCTTTAATCCCACACGCTGTACACATGCATATAAACAATACTCAATGATATGGCTAAATCTTAGTCGCATCGGTCTGCTACGAACCATATAAATAAAACACCCCCATATATAATATACAATTTGGTTTTTACATGAAGAAAAATGTCTCATAATGTACTATTGTCCACGAATGGTTCTGTTTTCAGCGATATGATCCATTATGGTCCAATTATTGAGCTTTTAAAACTTGTTAATTCTTATATTCGGTTCTTTTGTTTATCAACTATTCAGCCGATCTTTATGAATTTTTCACAGTAAGCTTATGTCGATCAGTTTCCGGAAGTATTAAATCCATTTAGTGTGTGGGCCGGTGTCGTTGTTCAATCGATTGAGAGCTTCATTTTAGAAATTTGTTAAGTGTTGACTGATGTTGATTTTATTTTAATTTTAGAGTGCGGATGAAAATCGCAGGCACCTGACTTTTGGATAAGCTGGCCCGATATACATGAATACAATTTTGAGAAGTACAACATGAAACAATATAAGTATAAAAATAACAATAAACGTGGTCTGCACTCTGTGATAAGATATGGCGAAATGTTCAGCTTTTAGAATGAAATGCCATATCTCTTATCAAGATAGAACATATACATAATTTACTAGCACCATTAGCAAATTTTCCCCATGTTGAAACAATAGAGCTTAAGGCCCAATCCGTGGTTTATCAAACTGAAACTGAGTCCGAATAAGGCCTAGTATTAGACACACTTTCAGATGTAAACTAGACTCTGAGCAATGCACGCCCACCAGGACAAGCGTACTAAGATGAAACGCTCTGGTCACGGCCATACAGACGAAGGGGGAGCCCCTGGCTAGATTGTTACTGGAAAAGTGGGCTTACCCAGTTCGTAGCTTTTCACGCCATAGTTATAAGTCAATTCAATGACGAAGTGCGACGATTCAGGGCCATAGCCCACCATGGTTTTGCTCCAGCGATTGTTGTAAGGTCTAATTAAATGAAAATTAGAAAAAAATTGTACACTTGGCAATTACTGGCAAGGCTTACCCATTGCATTCCGCGTTGCACCCTTCCTTGAATTCTTCGTGACGCAAAACCTGTTCCGCCGCAACCGCAACAACAGCAGCAGCAGTCGAGAAGAGGAGAGAAGAGGAGAGAAGAGGAGGTAAAAGCAAACGAGTTAGTGCTATTACGACTTGTCATGCTTATCAACAATATAAGTTTTTAATTAGCCAACAACTGGCAGTTTGTCAGATAAAAGTCAATTGCCGACGCCACCAACAACAACAACAACGCCGCCTCCGACTCCAACAAGTGCCGACAACTCACCTGCATGCCTAGGATGCTGCGGAAGAAGAACGCATTATGGCCACGATCGCCAATTTTGAAAACATAGTGCAGGGCACGTCCCGGAACAGCGCTCATCGTAGTTTTTGTGGTTGTCCGCCACCGCTGCTGCCGCCCAAATATAAATGAAAACGCCGAACGCTGCGCCAACCAGCACCAGCCAAGAAGGGAGCAGCTGTGATAGAGATGGGCAAGTGAGTGCGCTATGACTGCGTCTGGCCGACGTGTATCGATGAGCAGCGACGCTGGCACGAGCGCGCCTTATCGATAAACATCGATGGCAAACAACGAACAATTTAAATTTGAGTTTGTTTCAGTTTCGAATATTTCAACGGTTGCTTTGAAAGTGAAACGATAAGACAGCGAAACGAACATAAAACCAATTCCTAAAACAATTCAACGTTTTCAAAATGAAAAAGAAGTAACAAAATATAAGCGAATCCATCTTGTTGCTTTGCGCAAAATAAAAGACTATATTTAGGGAATTTCTGTTAAAGACTCGATTTTGCCGACCATTATTTTCCGATTTTTCTGAATTTTAAAATCTGCCAGCTATTTCGTTGAAACTATTTAACAAACGAATAGCTCTCGACAGCATTTACCTTAACACTCTTATAGCTTTCTTTTGGTATTCTGTTTTCTTTGCAAATTTTTTTTACGATAAGGCCAATTATTTGCAGGCAGTCCCACTAACAGTCATATGGAGATCGCGAATTGCCAAACACAAAAGTATTGAAGTTATGAATTTGAAAGAATGCTATTGGCCTGTCTGTAAGTTTTTTATACCCTGTACGTAAAGAGTAAAATTTTATACTATATCAATTTATTTTTACTACACAGCGTATAATGATTTTAGCAATAAGGCCTAGGCCATGCAAATTGTAGGAACACATATGAGGAATTACTTGGAAACTTGTCGGCTCTTTAAAAAAGGGAAATTATGAAAGAAAGAAAATGCCTAAGTTTACCTAAGTTCACCTCGTATTAACAGAAGAAAATAGGAAATTTTGAAAATAAATAGCGAACATACATACTTGTATGTTAATGTACCGACTATATACGTATAATTTTTTCAAATATAAAAGTTATGACGCCTATTAAATAAATAAACAAAAAATGTATCATAAGAACAGCACCGGGCAGCTTTAGGTAACATTATATATGTGACGTCATATGTTTCAGCAATGAAAAGATAGAGTGAATCATTCATTATTCAGTTACGAACGTTTGATTGTACTTTTACATGTACTTGACTAGAATTTGTAAATAGCGTTATGGTTTTAATATTGGTATAGGAAATAAATATCTATCGCAGAACATTAAGATGAATTCACTTATTCCCATTATGATATTTCTTTTTCATGCTTTGAAGACTTGGAATTTACAGAGCAATCCGTACATTAAATCCATTCGGTATCATTACCGGAGTTTCTTCTGTTTCTGTTGTGCTGTTGATTTGAAAGGAACTTAAGTTTTGCAAGATTTTCGTAAGAGCTGTCTGTCATATACATCAATATGGCTGACCATTATTTTAGCAGTGAACTGTTCATCTCTAAGTATGACGTTTGCAGTACCCGCTAGGAGCGCAGCTTAAATTGCTGTTTCTTTGAAGGCATGTGTGGGGAAATGGAAATGTTTGCAATACATTTCAAGTTGGTGGTGAGTTTTAAAGTTTAGAGGCTGCGCCATCTAGCGCACATCACCTGCATTTGAATGATGAAATAAATGGGGTTTCAATAGCTTTACGTGAATAAAAATGTATGTATGTACATAGATAATGTATATTGTGTTTTTTGTTTTCGATTACAAATATCACAAATTCCTGATTTGATTTTAAGTATTAAATTAAATCGGCCGATACCTAGATCGTGGGTTTGATTAAGCAAACTAAAATTTTAAGCTAACTGTACCAGAAGGCTGCTAGAAGACCTGCATCATTCTTTAAAATTGTGTTTTTTTGTTTAATGAGGGCTATTACTTTATTAATATACCTTATATTTAAATGTTTTTTATTTGTTTAATTTATATTTGTAATACAGAGGAGCAGCAAATTTGATAACAAAATATTCAAATACAGACTATTCACCACCTTGAAAGAGAGTTGTAGCCTTAGCTATACAACAGGGCAGGGGAGTTAGTGAAGACACCAACCAAGAGAAAATTTGTGCATTGTTATGAAAGCGTCCTCTGACGGCAATGTTTTGTGTTTGCAGAGCTTATGATATTTTGCTTTTGTTGTGGCAGCAAAAAGTAATAGTATTTGATTTTAAGCGCGAATGCAATTAATTTATACTGATTTGTAGATTTATTTGGACACCACGGTGGTTTGTTGGTATTACGCACTGAGCTCCTAAAACTCTCTGCCCTCTTATCGACTAGTATCGATAACCGACAGTGACTGCCAAGACCTATCGAGTGCCTGTGCACGATCATTTTTCGATCGGTCTTTGTTTTGGTTTTGTTGTCAGTTTGAGTTTGTTTTTAAGCGTGGGCAGTTCTGTCGGCGTTTTGTGCGACGCTTTGCGGTCGGTTTGTTTTCGTTTTTTTTTGTTCCGTTGTTCGCAAACTGTTGTTGGCTTTTGTTTTTGGCAGAAACGTTTTTTTTTATATTAAAATATAAATTATTATTATTAAAGTTGCTTGTGTTTCTGAGGCGTTTTGTTCCGCTGCCACGCTGGTCGCGTTCCGTTTTCGCGGTTCGTTCACGTCGATGTTGTGTTGTTCTTGTTTAGAAAGCAGCAACAAAAATTAGTTGCAACTTGCAACAACACGCACAAGCACACGCACAAGCACACGCACACTCACACACAGCCAAGAGTGCAGGTGTTCGCTGCTCCTACCTACCTACATACATACATACATACTTATGTACATGAGCAACAACAACCGCTTTAGTGTTCGAATGTCGCGCGCTCTCTCGGTCGGCTCTGTGGCTCGAGTTTCGTTTTGTGGCGGCGGTGCCCGATTTGCATAATTTATAGAAATTATTGCTGCCAGCAGCAGCAGCGCCAATATCAATAGCAACAGAAATAAACTGTTGTTTAGTGAATTTGCATCAACAAGGTGTGTTATATTTTGTTTATTTTTTTTTTCGCCGAATGGAATCGAACCGGAACCGGCGGGTTTCCTCTTGCAAAGTTCCATGTACAAATATTTGAAAAGTGCAGTTTTTACATAAATGAAACGAGCACATTCACACACACACACATGCACACATACGCACATACACACATATAGCATATGTCAGTGAATGTGTATGTGTTTGTGGTGACCGTGAAAAAAGTTGTGCCAAGCGAAACGTCACAAATAATTTATTCTCACGGTTTTGTCTGCCTTCTGTTTATTAATTTTAGTTTTCGCTCCAAGTGTGTCAAACCTTGAAAATTCTCAGTAAAAGGTGTTGGATGAAAAAATCTCAAGTTTTCTCAAGCAACGAGCAACAAATTAGTGAGCTGCGCATAAACAAATTAAAGCCGAGCCACCAAATTAAAGAGCGCCTATTAAAAAGAGAACCAACAGGTAAGTGCCAAGGCAAGAAGGGTGACAAACATACATACATATAGCATGTACATATATACATATGCACATACATTAAAAAAAAACTTAGTGGGGCACTCCAAATTAAGATTTTATAAATCGACTGTTTAAGGAAAACTTCCTAAAGGGGTCTGAAGTTTATACTTGTATTCTTACTTACTTATGTATTTTGCATGTACATATGTATTGCATGTAGCTATAGCATATAAATCACTCTGTGAATGTATTTGCCGCCTTTAAATACATAAATACATCATTCTTTTATACTAACAGACTTCCCAATAAACAATTTATTGCTGAAGACGTCAGCAATGAAAAATTGTCCACACAATAAATTCCATTTGCTATAGCAGTAATGTATGTATGTAAATATATACATACATACATATGTACAAATGTATGTATAATATTTAGTAGTCTGGTCCAAAGATGTTATCCACTCCAAACAAAATGTGTAAACGTATATTTATTAAAATTTTGCAATAACAACAACCGTATGAGTATATTTTCCCTTTAGTATTTGCATAGCACGATGAAACCTATTTTTAAAATATGAGTGCAAAACCTCTAGAATTATGGTAAAGATCTCTTAAAACGGGGGAATAGGGTGTCCATCGGGTTAAAACCACAAACTTGTCCTGACTAGAAGAACCAGCTGGTTTATTCTAGCTCTTATGTACATGCATTCTTAGAATCTGTATCAGCATTTTAGTAAAATGGTGTTCATATGTACATACATATGTATATGTATGTATATTTTTAACAAATGTCTAATATGGCAATACAATAGGTTAGGTTAGAAAAGTGGATCGTCGTTGTCAGTCCCAGGCCTAGAGCACTTGGTCATTAGTGTTGTCGGGTAATTGGAGATCCGTTCGAAGAGCGGCTTAGTAGTTCATTTTAATCTTGCTGTCTTTTCAAAATACAACAGTAACTGATTAAAATTGAAGCCAGTTTTTTGTTCCAACGGGTCATTCCGATTATTGCACTCCTGAACGTGCAAAAAATTTAAAATATAGTTTTTGTTTCTCCTAAAATGGTGTGATGTGCTAGAAAAAATTCATACTAGGACGTAAATAACCTCGCGCTGTGTTAAATAAAAGTTCCAGCACAAAATTGATTGTTTCTGTGAGTTTTCTACTACCAGAAAAATACATGAAAATTCCCTCAATTTTCAGTTTCTCGGAAATATTTTTCTGAAATGTAGAAAACTCACAGAAACAATCAGTTTTTGCTGGAACTTGGTCTTTCGCTACACATAAAATCTATCCCAAAGAGAGAATAATGAGAGCGAAACATGCAAGAACAGTCGTGCAAGCGCATAACTGTTCCTGCACTATTTCCTTGATCTTGCGCGTTTGTGTTTGTTTGTGTTTTGTTTCTAGTTTTTATTTGCGCACTTTTTTCTCGTAACGAAGTAGAACACAGTTATAATTCCCAAGTTGTTCGTTGGGCATAGTATTGGATCACCTTAGTGGCTGATACAGTGGCGCAAAACATATTTTCTACAGTGCATATTCTCCTTGCCTACGAAACTATTATGACTTGAACATAAATATCGATAGCAAAAAAAGTGCACTACCTCTTTTAAAGAACTTAATTTAAAGGCAATACATAAAGTTACTAAATGTGGTATTATCTTTGAATATTGCGGAGTTCGCATAACTTTGAGGCCTTTACAAAGTGTGCCCTGGTTTCTACAGTTTCTATAGCACATTTCTTGTCACATTGCCTTCCTGAACTTCGGATACAAGTTTCCTTAATTCCTTGCCTTAATCTCTGTTTCGAGCTGGGCCTCGTCAGAATGTCGGGCGTCGAAGGTTACCAAAAAAGCCGTAAAGCTGGGCTAGTAACAGGAGACCTACAAATGAAACTCTATTATTGTTTTGGGGAAACTTTAAAAAATCCACTTGTTTGTTGTAATATGATTATGGTTTCTAAGTTTTATAAATATATAAATTATTAGAAGACATCAAGGAACGAACTTTTTCAGTTTTTGTACCTTCTACAGTGGCAAGATTCATAAAAAACCCAATATTTCCCCTTCATTCGAACCATTGCTTCATGGCCTCCAACTTTGTTTTATTTTGTCCAAGTTATTAGTTATTAAGTATTTGTTTATTTTTAAAACTAAATTAATATTAATTGCAGTGTTTTCCCATGTGGCGTGGCTGGTAAGCACTCGAATTTCAGACTTAGGCATTAAATAATAGATTTGAGGCCTTATTTTCGATTAAATGACATACCTGTAAGTTCAGATCATGTTTGGGAATATAAATGTCGAATAAAGCCATTTTCTTCATTTCGCTTTTGAGATCAGCGGCACCAAGCTTTCTCTGAGTATGAGAAAATAAACAATGAATTAATTTATGTACAGCACCGCTTTCTAGTTTATGGATCGTTAATCCAATGAACACAGAAAGTATAAAGAAAAACGTAACATCTGTTTTACGATCTATAACAGTAATTAGATATAAGCGCCATTTGCAATGTCTTCTGAAACTGGTGACCTCTTTTGTTCAGAAACAGTACAGCGTCGTACATCGAGTTCTAATCGTTTGGCACACACACATATTGTGTTAGCAATACCTAGTATGTTGGGTGATTTCCGTGCTTAAATTTTATATTATCCCAACAATAACAATGCAACAAATGAATAAAAGGTACTCTTTAAATGTTAATAAACAAAGTGCTTGACCAGACGTGTTTCTATTGATCGTTTTTGTTTTGTATCGCTCTAACTAGCCTAGCAAGGTACAGTTGTGTGATGATTCTATTTGGGGTCTTATTCAGAAATTGAGATGTTGTTGAAAATAGAACAATTAGTTGGAAGAAGGAGTCTATATTCTAAGAAGAAATTCTTATCATGTATATCCTTCACTTTTTATCGAAAAGAAACCAAAAATGTAACAAACCCATTCAGAAACTACCAACGAATAAAATTACGATTTCCATTGACTATTAAGCTATGTTATATATACTATATTAGAGACCAAAAATTATATTATTAGTAGTAGAAGCTTTACTTTCATAATCCCTTTAAAAAGGTTAGCCAAACGTTTCCTAATTTTATAGTTAAGCTACAAAATAAAAGTATTTCGACTTGGTTTATATTGTCTGTCGATCACCAACAATTGCCCGAAGTACATAGGTTATTACACCCGACTGCCCGGGTCTTCCCCAGATACCGGATCGTTGGCCGTGAAGTTCGGATAAGATGTTGGTGTTACAGCAAAACTTAATCAGTAATTAATTTACCGCCGCCAGCAATTTAATTTATTCTATTATATTTATGGCTTGAATTTGTATTTTATCAATTTAAAAAACTTTAAAAATCTATCCCTATACTTTATGGACACTAAGTTTAAGAGATATATAGTCTCTGCCGTATTCACTTGATTTTTCTGTAGGTGTTAAGAACAAATTGTAATTATAAATTATTCAGAAAGAGGAATAAGAGCTGTCCATAAACGATTTTGCTTTGTATGAGAAATTATACATAATGGCACATTTTAATTTCCATTTCATATCAAATAATTGCAGGTGTTTTTTTTTAAATTATTTTATGGGGTATTTATGAAATGTATATATTCTGTTTACGATTGCATCTTTAGGGCGCAACTATTCCAATCTTGAAGCTATTTCATTAGCCAGAAAAGTAGTTGAAGTGCTTTTCGATCTGAGGATGTCAGATCTGCCATCTGAATCTGAATATGAATGTATAGACAAATGTGCCGATAAATAAATAATGATAATGATTCATGATGGTTTTTAACTAAATGGACATAAAGACAGGGATTTTTTACAGTTGCCAGAACTGTGTGGTCGAGGTAGCTTCGTGCGTAGATACATATATATGTATATAGAGTATATATGTATGTATGCATGGATGTGTGTTTGTTTCAGCCAAAATGCAAATATGCAGCGGCTAGGTAGAGGTTGAGGCAGGGGTGGCAGGTTGGTCGAATGTGGCAGTAACACGGCTCATTGGGATTTCAATGAGTTGAGCTGTGTATGTGTGTGTGAGTGTGTGTGTGTAGTGGTGATGGTGCTATCAAAAAACACAGGTAACTAGCGCAGCAGCTGGCTGTCTGGCCGGCCTTTCAATGTTCCATACAAGCCCCTGCGCGTGTGTGTGTGTCTGTGTGTGTGTGTGTGTGTGTGTGTGTGTGTGTGTGTGTGTGTGCGTGTGTCGCACAGGTATGCGCAATGATCGCACAAAGCCAGAAACAACAGAGCACAGCACATCACAGCAAAGGCAGCAGCAGCTGGTATTTCAGTCTTGGCTTAGCTTTTGTCTACACACCACAGTCCCTTGTTGTTGTAGTTGTTGCTTCCTCACTTCCTGCTCTGGCAGAGCGAGTGAGAGAGAGAGAGAGAGAGACCAGCGACTGCTTGTCTGTTTACCTGACTGTGATTTGATGTTTTGCCCTTTCGCTTGCATTTTGCCTTTGCTTATACGCGTACCTGCAATAATACCTGTGTCTGTACATAGAAACAATGACGGCCATCGGAATAGTTGCACCCCTTGTTCTGATTTCTACTTTCAATTTATACCATTTTATTTTTGTTGGCTACAGCGCATTTCTTTGTCGGGCTAGCTCGACTGTGACATTCGAGCTCGTTTTGATTCCAAGCTATACTTGTAATTACAAAACTTGCACATTTTTTTACAATTTATTTATTTACAATCTGTCTTAAGACAATAAGTAAAGGTAGCTTTATTTAAAATTAACAGGAATAGGGGGTTTCCAGTAAAACCAACTCCACCTAATTCTGTTTTTACACGGTAAATTGGTTCCAGAAAATACATTAATCATATGCAAAAATAGTTGATTGGTTCCTTATCTCTAAAGAAATATACATATATGCAATTTTTGATTTTCAAACTGTGTTATATCGAAATCGTGTAAAAAGACCGTGTAAAACAGAATTATAGTAGGTATAGTTCTCAATTGGATTCAACTTGCTATTCCAAGCAA